CTAAATTTAATTGGAATTTGAAAAATAATTCCAGTCTTGAAAATGAAATGCTTAAGAATTTTGGGGTCGTAGCCCTCTTTTTTTAGATCAGAATTTAATAAATCATTAGCCTACTTCAAAAAACGTGTTCTGGCGTAAGCATTATCCTTGGCCCTGGCGCTATTTGAGCACTTTTGAGTCTGCCTGGTATGTCCCTCCACAAGTCTTCCGTTGATGCGAGGAAAACATCAACCGGCCTTTTATTAGTGATCGAATGGAATGAGTTGTTATATTTGGATGTGGCTAATAAGATGCAGTCTACGGCGTTACTTCTGCCCTTATAAATTTTGGGACATCTAACCAGCTCCAAGAGGGTGCTATGCAAACATTTTATTTGCATAGACACTATGCATAGAACCGTTTGAGACACTATGTAGTTGTTGGCATTTTCACGAGCTCCGTACCCCATTTAAGGTGGCCGGATTGTAAGCAAGGGGCGCCTCCGCCTGTTTTAAAAGGTCGAAGCCAATAATTCCGTCAAATGGGGACAGATTCGGTACTATAAAAAATGTGGTCTTGATATTGAAGACCAAGACAATGCAGGCCGAGAGATGCTACTTGGCGGACGCAATATTCCACTACTTAATGACGAACAACAAATTATTTATTTGATTTGTTTTTGATGCATCAGGTTGAATTACGATTATAAAAATCGCTTTGGCCAATGAATCTTCTTTGCAGCAACTTTACTGGGTGGAGACAGGACAGCCCATTCAATTAAGCAGTCATTGAACATTCAAAATAATCCAAATTAGGCAAAATTAGATTATTTCACAAAAAAAAATATATATAATAATAACATTAAGCCATAAATTTGGGCTTTTAAACCGAAGTGCATTGTAACTTTTGAGGCAGCGAAGGCCGCTTGTCTCCAGGAGATATATGATTCTGTTAAACCCGAGAATTCTGGGAAGCAGTTCACAGCATCCAATGGCTCGTTGCATTGGAAGTTATCTAAAATCTGAATTTCGTCATAGGCTCTAGCTTGTGGCGCCCGATTTGCGGAATTTTGTGGTGAATCACGCACCTCCCCAACCTGGGCTGCATGTGCGTCTGATTTGCCAGGGTTCTGCTGACGGCAGCGTCGATTAAGCTCCTAAGCTGTTCGGGTTCTATCGTATTTAATTCTTCAGGGCCGAAATATTAGGCTTCGCCAGTGAAGCTCAAACTAGCTCCTCACCCCCCGATTTTGAGTCGATCGAATACTTTCTACAGCTCCTATGCTGACTGAATGGTTCAGTCATGAGCCTTTATATTGAAAGCGCACATACACGGAAAGGCGTTCATATGAATGGCTCTGAGCAGTGGGTAAATAAAGAACAACAAAGCAAGTCATGCGTCATGTCCAGGGCCGTAGCTAGAGCCTCGGGGGCCCTGGGGCAACAAGTAAATTTGGGGCCCCCTTTTTGCCGGAAGTCTTTTGCCCCGGCGGGGCCCAGGTAGCAGCTTAATTTCTTTTAATTTATTGTTTATTTGCCACCAGGGCTCGTTAATTCGTTTAAAGTGCAAGGGTATATCAACTTCGGCTCCGCCCTAAGTTAGCTTAAGATGCTTTTTAATTTTTTTATATTTGATTAGGCAGTTTAGGAGACCAGTTTTTGTGACATAAATTAATAACTCAATATCGGAGCAAGATATTTGACTTTTTTTTTTGATATATCATAGAAAATATTGGGCGTGGCACGCCTTTAACAATGTATACAGTTCTAAAAAGAAAGTCCATGTAAAGCATTAAAAAAAATATTAAATACACTTATAAAATAACCTATCAGAGGTTGTGGGGCTGTTTGAGTACATACAAAAAATGGGTCAAAGCAATTTTGTACACCCCCAAATTTTCAAGTTATTGTTAAAAAACAGTTTTTCGGTCATTTTTGCTCTTAAAAATTCCTAAACTGACTTTTCTAATTTTTGTCGTTTTTTCGGTCTTTGTCGCCATTTTCTTTGTCGGTACAACTTACAAGAAATGGTATCATTTTGTGTAATTTTACTAGCGCTTGGGAGAAAAAATGTGATAGATACCACAACCTCTGATAGGTCATTTTATAAGTGTATTTTCACTGTTACATTGAGTATGAGAAGACATATATTTTCCCTGTTAGAAAAAGTCTAGCTCTTCGATCTCCAACTCAATATTATATTGAAGTATATTGAAAGATTATTGAATTTGAAAGAATCAGGAGCTTTCATCCTCACCCGCCGTGGTGTCATCGGGATTTGATGAGCCGAGCCCTCTAATAGGTCCAAAACCTCTAATGGAAGACATATTTTCTTCTGTCGCTGTATTCTTCTAACCAAATTCACTGGCGAAATGATCGGATCAGAAGTATCTGTAGCTCGCTGAAATACGTCTGGACTACGAGACTCTGCAGCGTGCCTTCTGAGAGATATATTGCCCTTCGCATTTATAACAGTTTTTGAATTTAGCCAAACTGTGTGATTCCGACGCAACTGAAATTAGAAGAGCACCTCTTCCACATTTTCGTCAAGCGGTAGAACAATTTTTTTCTCGCTTGGTCTACGATATCGCTGTACTCTTCAAAATTCACTCCTGAGATGGAATCTTTAATAAAATGAAAGACAGCATTCTCTTTTGCGACTTTTCTTTTTGCTTCGAACCACTTCGCAAACAAATCTGTGTTTGCCAAATTAAGCTAATGTCCTACAAATGAAAAATTCTCGCAAGTCAAAAAGTGGTATTTTAAATTACATTCATTCGAACAAAAATTTAATTTTTTATTATGCACGACTGAAGATTGGTGAATTTGCAATGCGTTACACTGAAACTTATTTTAATTTTCCGACTTTCAGAAAATGGGTTTTCGTCACAAAAACTGGTCGAGTTCCCCATAGTGCAGTGGTTGACACAGTACATTAATATGTCTTTAATGCATAAGTATTAGTAATGAATAGCAGAAAGTAGGCTGCGAGAATGACGTTTCTTACGTTGATACCAGTAGTCAGCACGAAACTATCTCTCGGGCATATGAAATTTCTCTACCCGAGCTCGGCAACACACACACATAAATGTATAAATAATGCGTTAAAATCATATCAATGTATTGCGTGAGCAGAAAAAACCAATGAGCGTTTTTTTATTTCATTTTTCGTTAATTCAAAAGTTTGAATGGGCACTAAAATAGTGCATTTTATATTAAATAAAGGATTTAAAGCAAAAGTTCTTATTAACTAATATTAATATTAATTGCCTATTTTAAATATATTTTCAATACATTCTGAGATTCAAATCAAAATAATTTGGGAAAATATTGAAAATACTTCAAAATTTTGGTCAGAAATGAAGATGTATCGGGATTGCAGGCAACCTCTATGAGGACATGGTGACATGGTGGTTTGCTCTCAGCCTGCTTTCATTGCCATGGCCAAATGCTGAGGTAGAGAGAGTTTTAAGCCAAGTAAACTTAATGAAAACCAAAATTAGGAACCGTTTAGAGGTAAATACATTTAATGCCATTTTGGCCATGTACAGCTGTGTTCATAATAATAGCAGTGCAGTAGCAACGTAGTAAAAGAACGGTAATTTTTGCATTTTCCTTTTAGTTAGTTGATCGCTTGGTGATTATTTTTGTAAAAGGAAGAGAGGTTCAAAGGAAGAGAGGAATGTCATAGTTCAGCTTAGGAAGCTGGGAAAACCCCATAAAAAATCCAAGATTTGGTAAATTGTTCTGCCAAAATGGTATCCAATGCCATTAATTATGAGGGGAAGGCCGAAACACGTGGGTCCAAACGAAAAACCACCGATATTGAGGGCCGAATGAAAGCGCGCTTCAGCAAAGCGAATCCTTTTGTATCTTCTAGGGATGTAAAAGAGGAGCTAAAGTTGTAGATCAGCGACGTCACCATTCGCCGTCGATTAGTAAATGAAAATTTAAATGCGAGAAGCTCCCAAAAGGTGCCATTACTTGGTAAAAGGCATATCCAAGCTCGATTGGAGTTTGCCAAAAGCCATTTGAACTGGCCAGTAACGAAATGGCGCAATATTCTTTGGATAGATGAGTCCAAACTGGTCTCGTTTGGTGGGACAGGCTCCAGACAGTATGTCCGACGACCCCAAAACACTGAGAACCACCCAACCACACTTTTAAGACCGTTATGCACGGTGGCCCTAAAATATTGATATGGGCTTGTTTTTCGTAAAGCGGCGTGGTCCCATACATATGATCGATGGGATCATGGACCAAGACGTCTATGTCGACATACTCAAAAAAGTAGTGCTTTCTTATGCACAAGGCTTTACGACAAAATATTAGTTTATATTTATCATTTTTGTTATTTTTTTAAAGTTTTTTTTAAGATTTGATGAATTTTTTAGTTTTTTTTGGTAACACTGCTATTATTATGAACAATAGCAAATGAAAATTTTGTCGATATTATTTTGATATTATCTATATTTTCGAAATAAATGGAGTAACTAGACTGAAACAAATGTGAACATAATTAAAAATAAATATATTATGTGTATGTATACCAATTTTGTCCCATTTTGGCGTTTATACTACAATTAATCGATCTTAAACATTTTTTTTTCATGACATGTGTCATGAGCACTGCTATTTTTATGAACACAGCTGTATACTTTCTTCATATTCGGATTACGTCGCCACAAATTATGTTGTCATAATTATAACTATAACTAATAAATAATAAAAAATACAATTTCTGTGAACAAACTTTTTGTCCTTTTTTCTATCCTTTTTTAAATTTGTTCATCCTATTTTTCCTGTTTTTTTCTCAATGTGTCGTTTTTTTCGAAAAAATATTGTTATTACATGTATAATTAAATATGTGTTAAAAAAATAAGGTACAAAATTAAATTTTCTATCTTTTGATGGGCCAAAGGCACAAATTCACAAAATAACATTAAAAACGGCTTCAATATGAGCCCCTTATATAATCAAGTTTGTTAACATTGTTTTTAAATTTTGTATTTTGTCTTTTAGGATAAACTTTTTGATTCCGCATGTCTAGAAAATATAGAGTCATTGGATCCGCAACCAACCGAAGATCCGACAGAGTTATCCGAGCATCGATTAGATGGTGATGGTTTTGGAGATTCTTTTGGACGTAAGTGTAAATTTACATTTCAAAATAAAATATATTGCAATTATTGCAAATATGAAAAACCTATTTTTGTCTGCCAATGGTTTTGAAAAGAGTATTTAGATAGAAAACTATCGTAATCGTAAACAAAAATTTTTCTGCCATTTTAAAGTTAAAAAAAAATGATTATATTTAAAAATTTTAAAATAAAAAATTTATTTCCATTTTGAAAATTTATAAATTCTTTCATAAAAATATTTACATCCATTTAAATGTCGAAAGTGTGCACTTAAGAATAAGTCATCTCCGAGTATACATACTCTTTATCAGGATCACCTCTCGAGACGAATCCGAGACGGATTATGTCCGTTTGTCTTTCTGTCTGACTTTTCACACAGTCTTATCTTCTCTGGAAGCAGTATATATGTAAGAAGGAACGGCCGGGATCGGCCATTTTTCTAAAAGTCTTGTGTTTTATACTTTTTTTAATCATTTTTTTAAATTAGTTAATCTTAAAAAAATTTAGAGTCTATTGAGATTTGAATATTTATTACTAAGATGTATTCAGGGTGCACCAGGGGAAGTCACAGGTATGGGCGTATATTGTGCTTTATGGATGTTTGTGTTTGGGAAGTTCCAAAACTAAAACCATGGTCAATGCATTATCCAAAGAGTATATCTAAAGCAGAGGTCGGCACGGCCCTATCTCGGGGGCATAGGAAATTTCTCTGCCCAAGCTCTGCCACACACACACAGTATGCATGTGTGAAACGTCATGCTTACAGCCTACTTTCTGCTATTCGTTACTAACACTAATGCGGTAAAATCATATCAATGTATTGGGGTGCCGACCACTGATCTAAAGCCTTAAGGCAGCCAAAAGTTAGCTATGTACACCGGACTTATATTAAATTGCTATGAAGAGATAGTAGAGCGGGTCTTAATGGGCCCCTTAATTTGTTATTATTTTAGAGGCTGACACCTTGTAACAAATTAAATATGCAAGTATTGTGAATTCTGGCCTTCTCCTGGTCCAGGTATTTTTAATTTTTACACCCGGTACTCGTAGAGTACAAGGGTATATTATAGTAGTGCCCTCCTAGTACATTCCCTCCCGCCCCTACAAATTGCGAATTGTTTTTAGCAACAGTACAGGAAGCTGTTTTGAAAAATCTGCCGATTTTTAGAGTTCAAAATTTCAATCAATCACTTCTGTCTCCAAAACAAAAATCACGTTGTAGAGCCGTTCCTTAATATTTTTAAAACATTTTTTGATTCCAAACTGTTGCAAGGGCTAAACTATACCTAAATATCAAAATTTAGCTAAATAAATTTTTAGAGTTATACACATCCCTACTAAATCGGTAGTAATGACGTAGGAAGTAGTGGGGATTTGGTCTTTTTTCGCCCAATCGCGAAATTATTGAAAAAATTATTTTTCTGGGAATCCATACTGTTAAAGTTTAAACATTATAGGTTAGTTAAATTGTGGGTGGAAGAGATGAGTACCGGGTAAAATTTAGTCGCGAAACTCAATTATAGCCGTCCTTTTTTGTTTTAATTTTATAATGGTGCAACTTCGGCATCCTTTATTTGATCTGTCTGCTGGGCATATGTGTTTGTCCTTTATTTTCTTGCGACATATTTATTGTAGTCATCATTGTTTCTTATTTCTGCAAGTCTCATTTCTATAAGATTTCGGACAAGAGCGAGCGCAGTAAGTAGGCAATATGGAATGCTTTTCAATCATAGTTTCTTTTTCTTGATAAAGTGATCTTTATATTCCTTGAACGAGCACATTTTGCGATGTATTTGTTAGTTATTTAAACAATAGATTTTTGCAGTACATACTTGCTTTCCTAAGCCGCAGCCTAAAAAAATAGGGTAGTCTGAAGGAGGCTTTGATGCCTAGTTGTTGGCAGTATACTTCTTTATTGTGTGTGGATAACGTACTCTGTAGGTCCGAATTGAATGACCCATTTATAGCTTATTGCGTAAACTTAGTTTATAGGGTACATAATGCGCAGTGAAAAGAAAAGGACGTTAAAAGGGATGGTCCATACTTTTATTTTCCATTGATGTGATTTTTCCTCTCTCATTGCATTTAAATTTGTCTGCTTAATAGAAACTAGTCCTGGATTTGGATGGATGAGTGTGGCGCAGGATTGATGCTAAAAGGTCCGCGTTAAGTTACCAAACGTTTTCGGGTAGCTGCAATTAAGGGGTTATATACAGTTGTACTGCGCAAAAAAAATGGAATTTTATCGATTTTTTTTTTTACACTATTTTTTTTTAAAGTATTTATGAAAAATGTTTTACCGACGTTGTTTAGTACATGTTTCTGGGTACTTAATTAAATTTTTTCATAAAAAATATTACATAATAATAATGTTATTGCCGAATTCCCGGATCGTCTTTTTTCGATGGTGTCTTGCGGTGGACATGATATCCCAAAAAGGGTTCGTCTGAAATCCAAAATTCAAAAAAATGTAGCTGGTATTGTACTGTCAAGTCCGTGAACGAGGGATTTTAAAAAATTTTGATTAAAAAACAAGAAAGGAAAGCTAACTTCGGTCGGAGCCGAAGTTGATATACCCTTGCAGTTAAAACCGGATATATATCGCAAACATCGGATATAGTTGGCCGATCCTAATGAAATTTGGTAGGTTAGATGAACTGACCAAAAATAGAATCTGTATTAAATTCCAGCTTTCTATTTTTAAAAACACGCAAGTTGGGTCATTTCCGATCGTTCAGTTATATGGCAGCTATAGGATATAGTCGGCTGATCCTTATGAAATTTGGCACGTCGTAATTTTTTGCCAAAGATAGCTCTCATGTCAAATTTGAACTCTCTAACTCTAAAAACACCAAAGTTATACCATTTCCGATCAATCAGTTATATGGCAGCTATAGGATATAGTCGACCGATCCCGGTCGTTCCGACTTATATACTGCGTGCAAAGAAAAGAAGGGTGTGTGCAAAGTTTCAAGTCGATAGCTTTAAAACTGAGAGACTAGTTCGCGTAGAAACAGACAGACGGACAGACGGACAGACGCAAAGAAGGACAGACGGAAAGAAGGACAGACGGACAGACGGAAAGAAGGACAGACGGACAGACGGACATGCTCATATCAACTCAGGAGGTGATCCTGATCAAGAATATATATACTTTATAGGGTCGGAGATGTCTCCTTCACTGCGTTGCACACTTTTGGACAAAATTATAATACCCTCTGCAAGGGTATAAAAATAGCGACGGTTTTAACAAAAAATGTACTTTTTCAAGGTATAAGATTTTCCATTTTTATGCTTTAAAAAAGGAGTTTTCAAAAAAAATAAATAAGTGGTCAAAATTTGGAGTTGATTGGATTAGTACTTTTTTAGAAATCATGTCCACCGCAAAGGTAATTTCGAAAAATCAAGATTCTGAGATAATCGCGTTTAAAGTTTCAAGTTTGTTCGAGTTTTTCGTGCAGGTAGTGCGCTATAAATAGCTACAACTTCCTTTCTAATGATCCGATCGTTATGAATTTTTGTGAGAGTATTCTCAACAGTATATACTTAAAGAATACGCAATAAAAAAATCGATTTTTTCATCTATCACAACTGTATATAACCCCTTAATGTTCACTATTCCCAAGTAAATTCTGTTTGATTTTGGGGTGGGAGTTAATTTATTAGATCAACTTTGATTCAAATGGTTTGGGCCATATACATATGTACATATGTAATGATAGACTGAGGGGTTAAGAACGAAGTAAAGACGGGGGCCCCTTACTATGGGGCCAACGATCACATGGCCTTAAGGGGTTATATACAGTTGTACCGCGCAAAAATAAGGATTTTTATCGATTTTTTTTTGACACCATAGAAAATTTTTATGAAAAATGTTTTACCGACGTTGTTTAGTACATGTTTCCGGGTATTTAATTAAATTTTTTCATAAAAAAATATTACATAACAAAAATGTTATAGCCGAATTCCCTGATCGTCTTTTTTCGATGGTGTCTTGCGGTGGATAAGATTTCTCGAAAACGGTTCATCCGAAATCCAAAATTCAAAAAAGTTTAGTTAGTATATTGTATTGTCTAGTCCGTGAACGAGGGATTTTTAAAAATTTTGTAAAAAAAAAAAATGGCGACGTTTTTAACAAAAAATGTACTTTTTCAACGTATAAGATTTTCGTTTTTTGTGCTTTAAAAAAGGAGTTTTCAAAAAAATTGAAAATCCCTCGTTCACGGACTAGCTAATATCATAATAAATAATTGGTCAAAATTTGGTGTTGATCGGATTAGTAGTTTTTTAGTAATCGTGTCCACCGCAAAGGTAATTTCCCAAAAAAAAGATTCTGAGATAATCGCGTTTAAAGTTTCAAGTTTGTTCAAGTTTTATATGCAGATAGTGCGCTATAAATAGCTACAGCTTCGGTTCTAATGCTCCGATCGTTATGAATTTTTGTAAGAGTATTCCCAATAAAATATACTTAAAGAATATGCAATAAAAAAAAATCGATTTTTTCATGTATCACAACTGTATATAACCCCTTAAATAATATCAGTAAACCAAAAGAGATTTTTCACACAATTTTTTTATTTTGTTACAGCCCTAGGTCAGTTCCCTCACCGCTCTCAAAAACCAGAGAAAAATGAATATGTCGGACGTTTTAAAGGCTTGATAAAATAAAATTGTCAATATGCGTTTACGTTGCAGCCAGATAAATTAAATATTTGTATTTTATCAAAAATTTTATTTCATATTTTCAAGATGTCCTAGATGTCTTATCTTTCAAGATAAGACTACATTCATTTAAGGGGACCCCCCCCATTCTCGATTTTAAATTTTGACGATTTTCAATGGGCTGGCAAATGAACATAAATTATTTTTTAGGGTTGTAACTGTGCTTACATATATTACGACACAAAAAGGAAGAAAATCATTTCACAGAATTTTTTTTTGTTTTGTTTTTGTTGTTGTTTTTTGTGATCAAAGAAAAGCCCTTCTTTTCGGCGGCGCATGTGATTTCCGCTCACTGGAACATCTGAATCCAAAAATTCCAACGGGATTAGAAAAAGTACATGTTTGGCTCTCGTATGAACTAGGATTATTAACTTCGCTCAAAAATTAACAAAATGGTGGACCTTTGAAATTTTTTTTTTGGAAATTTCCATTTTTTTCAGCCACAAATCGAGTTAAAAAGTAAGGAAGATCCTCACCGATTCGATTTATCCTAGTTCATACGAGAGCTATATATGTATAGAATAACGTGTTAAAATTTGGAACCGATTGGATTAATAGTTTTTGAGTAACCTCATGCGCCAGTCGTAAAAACACTGTTTCGAGAAAAACGCGTTTAAAGTTTTGAGATGGCTCTCGCCGTCGCCTGAGGCTTCCACCATAAATCGGCTATATCTTTAAGAGTTTTTGAAATTTTTACTTGAAATTTTCAGGGAACATTCTTGAATAGTTACAAGTTCGAATTAAATTAAAAAAAAAAAATCGATTTTTTAAAACCTTAAGGGGACCCCCCCCATTCTCGATTTTAAATTTTGACGATTTTCGTTGGGAATGAGGGGTTTCCAATGAAGAGGACTAAACACTCCATAACCCAGTGTAAATATTAAGGTTAATTCCTTTAATAGACACACGAACTTACTACAAGTCCCACTGATTCGACTGTATATGAAATATTTTAAATTTAAATTCTTTCCGGTTAAATCCGTTAACATTTAAAGATATTAAAAAACGCCAATAATTTTCTTGTCAAACCATGTGTTTCTTTCTGTTAGGAAACCCACCACACCCCCACCCACCCTATCTATATTTTCCACGAAAAAAACCCAATTTTTGTGAAAATTTTTTTTAGTGCGAAATTTTTTTTTTTCCTTTCCTTTTTTTTCTGCCAAACTGTCGACTTAAAGCGATGAAATTCCTCTTCGTAGAACATTTTTTTTTTGTAAGAAGCTATGCAATATTTCTCATAGAATAATAAATGGCTTTTATAAAAAGTGAAGACCTTTTTATAATCTGGCAGAGGATATTGTTATTTTGGTCAAAAGTGTGCAACGCAGTGAAGAAAACGTCTCCGACCCTATAAAGTATATATATTCTTGATCAGGATCACCTCTTAAATTGATATGAGCATGCCGGTCTATCTGTTTCTACGAAAACTAATCTCTCAGTTTTAAAGCTATCTCTAAGTTTTAAAAGCTATCTCTAAGTTTTTCTTTGCACGCAGTATAAAAGTGAGAACGGATGACTATATCCTATAGCTGCCATATACATGATTATTCGTTTGCTGATCGATTGACCCTAAGTTAGATTTCCTTTTTTTTTTTAATTGCAAAATATTTAAACTGTGTTTTTAAATAGAATTATATTTATTTTAAACCCCCTTGTGAAGTTTACCATAATATTTTGCATCAGTGTATCGACATGAATTGCTCAAAAATATTTTCACACAAATGTATGGTGAATTTTTGTATGAGTAAGAAAGTTTGGGGCCCATAGCCTAGTGGGTAGTGTAGCTGCACGCTAAGCGTTGGGTCGTGGGTTGGAACCCCACTCATGGCAATCATGACCTCCAAAGTTTTTCGGCTTCATTATGCTTAGTGGTCTCTTTTCCGATGCTACTAAACATGTGAGGTCGAAAAACGGTATTCCCAGATATCGACAGGTGGCAGCCCCACCTCTGGGATAGGTTGCACCTGGCTAATCACCGGATCAACCGAATAACAACTGATTAACGAAACTAATACAAGAAGAGAAGAAAACAACCAAACCCCATTTCCTAGAAATATCCCGGAAGAACATCAGCTGGGACACAATAAAGCAAAAAACAGCGGAAAAATAAAATAAAAAAAAAAAAAAAAAAAAAAGTTAGGTGGAGAGCCCTTGTAGAGGCCCTAAGCTCCCAAGAGGACTAATAACAAAAAAAAAAAAAAAAAAAAAAAAAAAAAAAACCGAAAGCTTGCTCTGCCGTGTGCAGGGCTTGGGTACCCCAGCTCTAGATTGATTGCCAATAATAGTGATTGATTGATGACAATATTGTTGGAGAATGGGAAATCACTAAACCCAGTCTTGTTTCGCACCCTAAAGTGATATTTAAGCGAATTTTAAGTCAACATATTTTGTAAAGGCAACCCTGATAGATTCTAAAAAAAAAAATATTCTGTTGCATACTTTTGTGTTGCTATGAATTCTTAGATATAAATTACCGACAAAAAACGTTGGCATCAAAACCTTTTTAAAATTCTTTCTTGAACTGGCGCTACCGAAATAGGTTATACTTGGGTGCGGGAGGAGAATATATCAAGAATATACCTTAATTTTCTTAGATTGAGATAGTTTCTTACTTCCCGTTTTTTTCCTTCTTGTGCTGCACCACGAGTGGGTATAAAAATCTCCGATTTTATGTTTTAAAATTGTATTTAAATTTTTATTTATGTAAAATTTTCTTAAAAATAATTTTAGAGCCGGAACTTTTTGAAGACGATTTATTTGGAGAGTTGCCACAACCACCTGATCACGGAATTAAAGAAACAGCCGAAACTCATGATGCTGATAATTCTGACGATGAAGTTGTTGATAATTTTAATAACATTCCTTCTCCTGCAACATCTCCTGCTCCTTCTATTGTTTATGATAAAGGAGGTATGTTATACAATTTTTTTTTCAGCGTAATAAATAATAAAACTTACATTTTGTTTTTTTTTTTTTTTTTTTTAGAAAATACTGCTAGTGACAATGCCGATGTTTCTATTAATGTGCCATTGAATGAGACAGTTCAAACTGAGGATGAAGGATTTGCATTAGCGCCTATTGACGCAACAATTTACAAAGGCGTTACAAGAGCCAAACGTAAAAGAAAACTTATTATTGATGAAGTGAAGAATATTTCTGGAGAAGAAATGAAGGCTCAATTAGCTGATACGTCTGATATTTTAACAACTCTTGATTTGGCTCCACCCACAAAAAGGTATTGTTCGATTTTTTTTTTTTTTTACAAAATGTAATAACATAAGTTTTGTTTTCAGGCTAATGTATTGGAAAGAAACAGGAGGGGTCGAAAAGCTTTTTTCCCTACCATCAAGGTCTATACCAGCGAGGTCATTACTAAATAACTATAATAGGCAATTGTTTTCACATTCGACAGTATTGGAGGACTTTACATGTGTTGCGCCTCTTGAAATCCTTGCGCTAGAATTTTGTGCACAAGAAAACGAAACATCATTAATTATTTTCAATAAAAAAGGACGAAAAAGAAAGAATGAACTTAGTACGAATATAATTTCTGACCATGTAGCAGATACACTTATTCAAAGCTGGGAAGCTCCTGAAGCCGTAAGAGAACATCAAAAGTCATTGGGTCTATCTGTCTTATCATTGGATATTGCAACTAAGGATCATGAAAGTATTTCTTGCCAAAATGATACAAATATATTTGATAATATTCGTAGTCCTGAGTTATTACCTTTCAACGATATGGAACAGTTTTCATCAATAAATGAAATTCCGTTAACTCCAAGGAATTCAAATCATGATGATGATTTTAATCACGGAGACTCAACCCCTGCAGGATTGGATCACGGTCAAGTTACTCCGCAGCATACAAGTTTTTGCGACCTTGACAATGTTCCCCATCCACCTTCCGACCAAATAAGTTCTATATTGAAAGAATCTTTAGACAGACCACTAATGGTTGAAAATTTGTTTGATAAAAATACAAACATTACTTCAAAGGATTGGAATAACTATGAAGTATCAAATTATGTTGTTCAGGTAAGACATTTTTAAAATCTTTATTTACAAACTTTTACAAAATTACAAATTTCTATGCATAATTTTTCCTATCCTTGGGTTCATTCTAACCAACAAATTGGTCCCCTTACCTAGATTTAGCGGTTTGTCTGCTGCTGGGAAATTTGCATTCCAGATAGTTATGATAGATTTCAGACTTAAAAATCAGTAGTCAAATTGCTGAAGTTATTATGTAAGTGCTGAAGAATCCGGTTGCCTCATCATTTTTACAAGATCTTTGACCGTTTTTACCTTCTCAAATTGGTTACATTGTATTGATTGCTTGTAAATAACTATTAAACGATTTTAATACACTTGCAGAGGGTATAATAATTTTGGTCAAAAGTGTGCAGTCAAGGAGACATCTCCGACCCTATAAAGTATATACATATATTCTTGATCAAGATCACTTCCTGAGTTGATATAAGCATGTCCGTCTGTCCGTCCATCTGTCCGTCCGTCTGTCTGTTTCTACGCAAACTAGTCTCTCAGTTTTAAATCTATCGTCTTGAAACTTTGCACACACCCTTCTTTCCTTTGCACGCAGTATATAAGTCGGATCGGCCGACTATGTCCTATAGCTGCCATATAACTGATTGATGTGACTGATTGATTGATGAACTGAACTTTGGTGTTTTTAGAGTTAGAGAGATCCAATTTCACGTAAAATATGTCGCGCGGAAATATTGCGGGATTGGCTGGTCCGTATCGCTGGTCTCGGGATTAGTCGATAAAGTCAGCGGCTCTCAGCGGGCACTCAAATGTGATGGGTTTGTCGTCTGGACACGAGCTTCCGGCATAAAGCTGCGTCAGCAAAATGCCAGTCACGAAGAATTGGACTCTTGTCCGGTTAACTTAGTTGACTACTCCACTTTTGCTGGCCGGTCGTTGATGATGGCGGTACCCTCATCTACGTGAGTTACCGGTTGTAAGTCGCTTGCCTGGAGTTCACAATGAGCGACTCTTCCTGCATGGAGATCTCTGGTACATGCGCTTTCTGTTGCTAGTTGGCAAAACCGCTTTTACATCTGCGTGATAGACCGAATATCTATTTTTTTCGCGGTGCGACTATTAATAGTGTCAGTTAACTGATTCATTTTCACCAGCACTTTAGTAATGGTTTCTATTTCTTTATTTTTTGAATTTAAAATTGAGTTAAATCTATTTAGTAAACTAAGAAAAATGGTGAATAAAAATAAGTGCCAAGTGGATAAAGAATGAAAATAGTTTTTAAAAGAAAAATGAGTCGAGTGGATCGCTTAAAGCTGTCACTTTAGGTTGTCTTTGTGGACTACCCTCTCCTTTATGAGAACCATGGTCCCCAGGTGTGCTTCATCAGTTTTCTCCTTAATCAAGGCGTAAGTTAGTTTCCAAGCCTTCGTTTTGACTTTACCAGGACTTTTGTACCTACTTCAAAAAACGTGTTCTGGCGTAAGCATTCTCCTTGGCCCTGGCGCTATTTGAGCACTTTTGAGTCTGCCTGGTATGTCCCTCCACAAGTCTTCCGTTGATGCGAGGAAAACATCAACCGGCCTTTTATTAGTGATCGAATGGAAAGAGTTGTTATATTTGGATGTGGCTAATAAGATGCAGTCTACGGCGTTACTTCTGCCCTTATAAATTTAGGGGCATCTAACCAGCTCCAAGAGGGTGCTATGCAAACACTTTATTTGCATAGACACTATGCATAGACCCGTTTGAGACACTATGTAGTTGTTGGCATTTTCACGAGCTCCGTACCCCATTTAAGGTGGCCGGATTGTAAGCAGAGGGACGCCTCCGCCTGTTTTAAAAGGTCGAAGCCATAATAATCGGCCATCTATACCCGATTTTTGCGATACACATCCGGTTTTAACTGCAGGGGTATATCAACTTCGGTTCGGACCGAAGTTAGATTTCCTTTCTTGTTTTAGTGTGTTCTTGCAGCTACACAGTATATTTCCAGTCTGTATTTCCACATCGGGGTCAGATAAAAAAGTTAATAAAAAAATTCCATCGGCAGGCCCAAAATTTTTAAAAACCTCTGCATGGCATTCGTTGCCTTATAAACATATACGTTTATTATGCTCTAATTAACATTTAACTTTTAACACATAACATCATTAAAAAAATAAAATAAAAATGTTATGTCTTTTTTTTTAGAATCCAAATGACGAGCAAATGGAAAATGAAACGGATGAACAGTTTGAAGAGCGCGTTTTAAATAAAAGAGCTGCTCAGCTTTTTATAGATGTGAAAACACATTTAACTGCAAAAGATAATATGACTCTATCGCAGCTAACATTAGGAAACTCAAGAAAGCAGGTAATAAAAAAAAAAGTTTAGTTTCTAGACTACATATATTTTATCTTGATTTTTTCTTGCCAAATCAATCATTTATTGGATCGCAAAAAAATTAAATTATTCTTATATTATAAAAAAAATAAAAAACATTGGTGTATGTGTAATAAGCGGAAGTCTCCCCTTTCACTCCACATACTCCCTTTTTATAACGATTTTTATACCCTTGCAGAGGGTATTATAATTTTGGTCAAAAGTGTGCAACGCAGTGAAGGAGACATCTCTGACCCTATAAAGTATATATATTCTTGATCAGGATCACCTCCTGAGTTGATATAAGCATGTCCGTCTGTCTGTCTGTCCGTCTTTCTGTCTGTTTCTACGCGAATTAGTCTCTCAGTTTTAAAGCTATCGTCTTGAAACTTTGCACACACCCCTCTTTCCTTTGCACGCAGTATATAAGTCGGAACGGTCGGGATCGACCGACTATATCCTATAGCTGCCATATAACTGATTGATCGGAAATGGTATAACTTTGCGGTTTTTAGAGTTAGAGCGTTCAAATTTGACACGAGAGCTATTTTTGCCAAAACATTACGACATGCCAAATTTTATAAGGATCGGCCGACTATATCCTATAGCTGCCATATAACTGAACGATCGAAAATGACCCAACTTTCTTGTTTTTAGAAAGAAAGATAGAAAGCTGAAACTTAGTACAGATTCTATTTTTGGTCAGTTGATCCAACCTACCAAATTTCATTAGGATCGGCCGTCTATATCCTATAGCTGCCATATAACTGAACGATCGGAAATGGTATTTGGTAGAAAAATCAATTTTCGTATTTTTGAAGATAGAAGATTGGTACTTTTTTTTTTTAGATTTTTTATTTTAAATAATTGGTTTTATTATGATGTTATCATAAGGATCGGCCAACTATATCCGATGTTTGCGATATATATCCGGTTTTAACTGCAAGGGTATATAAACTCCGGCTCCGCCCGAAGTTAGCTTTCCTTTCTTGTTTATTTTAAATTTACCAATGCCTAAGCCGTCTCTTGTTAAAATTTTTTATATTTACTAACAACAAATTTATTTTTCAGGCTGCTCAAAAATTTTATTCCCTTCTTGTCTTAAAGAAATTTAAGGTCCTTCACATTATTCAATCGTCACCCTATGCCGATATTGGAATTATGCGAGGACCAACATTCGAAAATCCCAAAATATAATGCATTAGGGATAATATTTATATAACAAATATAATAAGAATAAAATATATATATATTTAATAGATTATTACGAGAAACATTTTTATTTGTGTTTTTATTGTAACAACGGAATAAATAAAATATATTTCTTTATTTTTAGAACATAGAAAATTTCGGCATATCTCTCACTTGCTAAATGGGAATTTCCTGGGGTCGCAAATGTACGTTTAAACGAGAAACCCTACAGGCTAGACCGTGCTCAGATTATTGCAACACCTTAACATGGATTATTCCTTCCAGTAAGATTCGCATGGATTAACATCCATGAAGCTTGAAAATTTCTGTAAATTTCTGAATCCACTTTGAATTAAACTCTGACACATCCGAGCTTTCGAGTGAGAATTTATATGCTAGATATTATGATCTCAGAGTCTGCAGGGATGGGTCGAGGTATGATCGATAGTTTCTTCCTCTTCTTCGTTCCTACATAGCGTCAGTAGTTGTTATGGGGTGAATTCAGTAGTGCTGTTACTTGTACTGGTGAGAACTAGAGGGTCGTGTAGTAAAGAGATGGAGTGTCCGGGTTAAAGGGGTTGTGATGAGTTTCTCTCAGAGCTTGCAAAAATATGTTCATCTTTTGAAAGTGTTCGAAAAAAATCGATCATGTCGGAACACTTATAAAATCGTGTCTGAACAAAAAAATTAGGGGTTTATTCTATTTAGTTGTGTCACAAAAATATTTAATCTTCAGAAATTTTTTAGAACAAAAAAAATAAAGGTGCTTTTAGGTATACTTCTGATACTTTAAAGATGATTTTGTAAATATTTCAAAAAATTGTAACCGTTTCCGGTAGCAGTATACATTTTTTGTCTACGCCAGTGTTGCCCAAGCTCTGCATACGGGAGAGAAAACTCCCATACCAATCCAAAAATTCATCAATACATTAGTGCGAGAATTTTTTTTCCATGTGGGTGCACTGAAAAAACAAATTATAGTAAAATTTACAAGGGGTTTAAAAATATGAATGTAATAAAAAATATATTTTATTACAGCAATTAAAAAAAGGACCTACATTTTTTACAACAGCTTATTATTATACTATGACAATTATTTTTATTGTTTTTTCCAGAGCTTGTAAATAACTGTCAACCGTTTTTTTTCTTGCGCTCTCGTTGCGAGCAGAACCGAAAAAGTTCATACTCTCTCGCTCTCGCTCTGAGCAAGAGACTTTTGCTGTCCTTAATTCTGTTTTCTGTTGAGCGCTTTTCGTTGAGCCTTTTTATTTCGGTCGTTTAATGAGCAGTGCGTGAAGAGCGGAACGAGAAACGCTCGCACAAAGAGAGTCAGCAAAAGACCGATTGACCGAAAAACTCAATCCAAACGGTCTTTTCATTTACTTTCGTTGTTGTTGCTTTCGTAATTATTATGTTTTTACTGCAAAAGGAATGCAAAAAAGTTTCAGACAATGTTGTTTTTAGATTTTTTTTTTATTTTATATCTTATATTCATATTTTTGTAAAATTTTTTATATTTATGTGTTAAGCTTAACAACTAGTAAGGAGTTTAAATTTTCTGCGCTAATCGAACTTCTTCGTTCACTTAAAATAAAATGTAGGGCTGAGAATGCCCGTTCGACGGAGACTTGCGTTGCAGGTGTAGCCAGCACAACCTGCGCTAGTGCACTTATATGCGGCATCCTAAGTTTCAAATCATTGAAAAAATCCAATATGTTGCAATTTAATGGCAAGCGACCAAATGTTACGTCGAAGTTTTCAATGTCAGCATAAATTTTGGATAGTTTTGTAGAAACTGGATCTTCTTTGTTTTCCGAAACTGTCTGAAAATCGTCCAAAAATGCCGAGAACAGGGACTTCTCTTCAGATGAGGATGCGGTTGAAATTGACGAGGCAGTGGAAGCAAACATCTCTTCATGCACAGGAGTTTCGAGCGCTGCAACATTTCATGTTTGTGCCTTTAATAATAAAGCGATAATAAGTATAAAATGTATTTTGGATTTTAGTTTAGTACAAGTATTAGTTTTTGACGAAGACAATTTTAATTAGAGTGTCAAACCTACAACATAAACAAAACAGGACCCACATTTCAAACATTCTACGACATACGGCTTACTTTTTTCAACTCATGTAAACGAAAAGCAGTTTTTTTTAAATTAGCCTTTGCTAAGGATTTTTGATTAGTCGACAACATACAATTTACACGAGGATCCATGTAAATCGCTGCCAACAATGCATCATTTTCTAATAATTTGGTTTCCCTTATTTTGATTTGTGCCGATAGTTTTTTTTAAATTAAATTGTAGCTATTATCGCATTTCAATTTGAGTTCCATCCATATTACGAAGAACTCACTATAAACTAAATCTTTGTTTTGTAGCTTTAGGGTTGCTTGGTATGTGTCACTGAAAGCGTCAATGTACGTCTCGATCCAATCCCAATCGGCCTCTACACAAATATTTGGCCGCGTTGCCAGGAAATCCTTTAAGTCAAATAGTTTCTTTAGCATTAAATACGTCGAATTCCACCTTGTAGCAACGTCGAGCGATGGCATGTTTTTTTCATTCTCAACTAAAATACGTCTGCATAGATTTTATAAATATGAAGTATTTATAATATATAAAATTTATATATTTATATATAATTATATATACATATACATATATATATATTTATTTATTATTTTCCCCGATTCATCCCGATTGGAATATAAATTTATATATTTGTACTTCTATAACTTATAACTTACCTATATGTTTCTGTGCGCAGCGATTTGCATAATGTGCGACAGGCACTTATTCTATCGGCGATCTCCTTTGTTTTGTTTACATCAAATACGCACAGTTGCAGAGTGTGTGCTGCACATCTCACTAGGTGTATATTAGCCAGTTCAATAGAATCCAGTTCTTTCAGAAGATTCTCACTTTCTATGTCTTCTTCAAAAGGGATTCCTCTGTCGCATCATTTAATACCTGGACGACTTTTATCATGTTTCGTCCATTATCAGACGTAATGCTGTGTACGAGAATATGAAATTAAAACAAAAAAAAATCACATATTTTTGTACATACAAAATTGTATGGAATTCAATTTTTACCTGTAAATCTGATCAAGGGATATGCCATAATCATCTAAGATTTGAAGAATTTTTGTTTTTATATATACTCCAGTGTGAGATTCCCCGAGCTCAATCATGCCCAAGGTCTTCACAACAATCTCGGTTTTAGCCAGGCTTGCATGGATCATTTGCAAATTGATGCCTAGAATGGCTTTATTCATTCTGGTGGCAACGTCGATTTTCAGCGACACCATCTTTCCCTTCGCAAGTGCCCTTATATTTTCTTTAACAAACTGTTCTTTGATTGACACAAAATTCATAATATTTCTAGACGTTACAGGGTTCATGCCAAGTGCATTATATATTGGATCCATTATTTCGTTGAACCCTTCACTGTCTAGAAATTTGAATGGTTTTCCGTCTGTGGTTACAATTTTTATCAAGGAAGAAACAATTGCTTGTTCACTCGTTTGATACGATATTTTTCGTTTTTCTTCGCTGTCTGTTAACTTTGTAGATCCAGAATTATTCCACTCGTTGAAAATGTCCATATGCTTCGTTGTTAGATGGCGTCTTAAATTTGTGGAATGATTCCCGGACAATTTAATTCCGCAAACATTACACATCGATTTCTTTTCGACCGAATTGAATTTAAAAAATTGGTGCACATTTTTGTTACTGTCTCTTCCCATTTTACAAAAATAATTAGTTAACACAGTTAAACAACGCAACTTAACACACTCAATACACGATCGCAATTAAACATCTAACGATTTGCTTGCCTATGCGTGTAAATGTATACCAATACATACGCAAAAGACTTTTTGCTTCGCTGAAAACGACAAAACGGTCTTGCAACAACCGAAACAAAACAGAATACAAAAAATCGGTTTCGCTCTGAGCGCGAGCGAGCACATTAAAGAACCCATGAAACGGTTGCTCTCTGAGTCTTTTCGTAAAGAGTCAGAAAGAGACACTTATTTGCAGACAACGAGAAACGGTCGACAGTTATTTGCAAGCTCTGGTTTTTTCGGTTTCGGCACTCCAACAGGAGTGTAGTTTTTACGGTAAATTTCCATACCTTTTTGTTGATCAAAAATCGAGTATATATATAAGCTATCTATGTAATTGTGGCATCCATTCCATGGAAGATTTACTCGTATTTAAAAAATTCAGATTTTTTTTTAAATTGATAGATATGATAGTTGCCAGCTCGAAAAATGTAGTTTTCCAGAAAACGCGTTCAACTATAAAATTGAATGTATTTATTAGATTGTGTTCAAATTTTGAGAAGACGAGTATGTAGATTAGGTTAAAAAATATATGTATAAGTTAATTTTAATAACCCTTGTACTATTAATTCTTACTTTCACTCAAGCCCGTTGGGGCAAGGATCCATTGATAACAGATTGGGTTTATTAGGTTTTTTCATTTATTTCACCTAAACCTGTTGAGATAAAGGATAATATAAACAATGTTACAATTATTATTTATTACACATTGTGTAATACACAGCTATGGCTGCGGAGTATGATTTAAAACTAATCTAAAGGTCCGATCCGGCTGCAGCTGGAAGTTTTCGTCCGGTCGCAGCGCTGTCGCCAAAGTGCCGGATCAGCAATTTTATCCAGTTGCTGACGATCACTCGCTGCGCGAGTGTTCTGACTAGGGTTGTTGGTTTTTGAAAAATATCGTATTGATGATATTTGCTGTGAAAAATATAAAAAATATTTTCGAGTATCGAGTATTTTCGATATTTTTAATAGTCAGCTAAAACTGAAAAAAGGTTATTTTTAAATTTAAAAAAAGGTTTTAATATGTGTTGTCATCCGCCATGAACTGCAAACAAGACATATTTTTTATTTAAAAAGTGAATTGAAAAAACAACAAATATTTATACCCACTCTCAAGCAACTTTTATTTAAGTTCTTTGAAATAAAAAATAACAAAATTATTAAGGACATTGTATTCAAATTTATTTATAAAAAAA